AACATCTTGAGCTTTCTAGAAATTTTGGAATTTCCCCCTCTTGGTTATTTTTGTTACTTTTGCGTCCTTTCCTGTTTGAGCAATGTTCAAAACTCTTGATCTACTTCAGAGTCCACAAAGGGAGGCCATAGGCTGAAAACCCTGCCTTGGGCCCTGCAGCCAGCAGGGAGGTGTAAAAGGAGAATAGGGGGCTGACCCTTGGAAAGAAAGAGGTGGGCCGTCATGGTCGCCTCGTGGGAGGTTCCGTGTCACCTGACGAGGGAGTTTCAGGTGCAAGCTGTTTACAGTTGAGGGTACAGCCTCAGAGCTAGAGTTACTCTCTGCAGTTTCCATTTTAAGTGCTTTCAGTCGTCCTCTTGCCAAGGCGGCTGCTGGCTCACATTGGAGCCACTAATCAGACTGGACTCAGAGTCCATCATTCTGCTCTGGCTGTCCTTGCTGGCCCTGGCAAATGCCTAGCTAGCACTTAGCTCCTCGGGCCCCAGCCTTCTCAGCAGCAACACCCTCTCTTCCTTTTCCTTCTGATACCCCTTCGCTGCCCCCTCCTTCATGCTCTGGCTGTTACACTCTTTGTGAAGCAACACTTGCCATGGTCCCAGGCCAGAGGATCATCGGACCGCTCTCCCACCCAGCTGCGGGCTGGCTGTGTATTCCTAGGTTTTCGCCGGCGCTGTTTTCCCAGGTGATGTCATTACCAAGAGGCTGCCCAGCACGGTGACAGAGGGACCCTGACGCCTGGCCTCTCCTTTCTGCTCTCCCCTCGCTAGCAGTGAACAGCACATTTCCCCTCTGCAGCTCATCTGTAAAGTGGACATAATACTCATAACTAGTACCTCCATCACGGGGCTGGTTGTTCAGGTGCCCTCTGTATGAGCTAAGACACATCAAGAACTTGGAACAGTGCCCGACACACACGAATGCCTTCCCGTCTCTTTGTCTTATTGCTGTCGTCATCGTCAGCCTTTGCGCGTCGCAGCCTCTGGACCTAGACTCCAGGTTCACTTGTGTGCATTGTAGAGTAAAAAGAAGGAGCCAAGTCTCAGGAAAAGTTGGTCATTTCAGATGGATAAGAGGAATGAATGCTTGGTGTGGGCTTCGGTAAGTGAGACAAAGCCTTTAACAGAAATAGTGATGCTGCAGTTGATAGTAGCATTATTTCATTAATTTTCAGATTAATGTGGGGGTTGAGAGCACAGTTCTTCTTGGTAGTACTTTTTGTCTTAAAAAAATGGAAAATATGAAACCTCAACCAGTTTTTGAGACACTGTTCAAACTATGTTTTATTTATTAACAATTCCTAGTGCCATGTCCTTGACTCCCAATGCTGGTCTCTTTTTTTGTTTTGTTTGTTTGTTTGTTTTTTGCTTACAAGGTTATCCTCTCCAGGTTGAGTATAGGTTTTAAAATCAAGTTTTCTCCTCATTTAAATTTTAGTCTTAAAAGCCTGGGAATACTGGCATCCTTGAAAAAGAGAAGGGTGCTGAATTGAACTCCCATCTCTAGGGACAGGGTGACGAGAGGTAAAAAAGTGTGAAGACAGCTTGAGGAGTCAGGGCTGTGGCATAACCTTGAAGGCAGCAGCTTCTCTTCCCACGCCTGCATGTTTTGTCGGAGCAGACAGATGTCAGAGATACAGGGGCTAGGGTTTACACGGGTTCATTTTAATAAAATACTGATAGATTGCTCATACATTTGTTTTTTTTTTTTTTTTAAGCTAGGTATGTGGTTATTAAAAGCAGAATGGCTTAGTTTTTGCATGTTCAGAATTTCCACTCAAAATTAAGGGGAAATAGCAGAGACAAATGTTCTCACTTTCCAGAGAAATAATGGTTGGTGTTTTAGCTCTTTTGTAATTAAATCTGGGTATAGCTCAAAAGACTCTTTAAAGAGTGTGGTGGCAGGATGCTTTCCTCAGGGTAAAGGAGGTGGGGGAAGCACCTGGAACTCAAGTCTTGAACTTCTGTGACCAAACATGAGGGGTCCAGGTGAGGAGGTTGAATGAGTTTTACGGCAGCATTCTACAGTCGCTGGAACAGACGTCTGTCAGTGTAGCCGCGACAAGGACCCCAGATTTCTGGAGTTTCCAGAACTGTACCTGGGACCTGAAGGGCTTAGCAGGATGTGGCAGGAACTCTGGAGCTGGATGTTTTTATTTTTTAATTCTGGGATTGTTGACCTGGCTTGGAGGAAAGAGACAATTACCAGGCGAGCACTCCCATCAGCACTATTACTGGGAATTCCAAGACTCGAGTTTTTACCAGACCCTCAGTGCAAACTCTGGCAACCCTCCATTCAGAGGGAACTAGGTCCTGTGCCTCCTGATGGCTGCTTGTTCATCTGGACCTTTGGACTTTTTCTTCTCGCTTATCCTTAACCTCCTACTCTAACAATGAGATGCCTTGTAGCTCCCCCTTTGTCCCTTTGTCACCTGTGAATTGTCCAATTCCAGGACAGCAGAATACCTGGAGAGCAGTTTCAGAATTATTAGCCAGTACCTCTCTGGGAAATGACAGGATCATATAGAGTCCAGGATTTATATGCAATTCCTTTGCCTTAATTCTTAAAGGTTTTGACTCATTTATATATAAATTTACATGTATCAGTGTCTTTTTTTGACACAGGGTGCAGTACGATTTTCATTCATTTGTAACACAGGTTTAATAATTCTGTCATGTTCTGCATTCTTCCCTGGGATCCAGCAACTTCCTAAATGATTATTTTTATTCGCATGCATATGGTTTACTGTTTATTCTATAAAGTTTTATGGCTTTTGACAAACGTGTGATGGCCTTTGCCTGTCATCAAAGTATCCTGGAAAGTATTTCACCAGTTGAACCTTCCTGCTCCAAAGAATGTCTGATAGGTTTACCTTGGCTCTAGTTTTGCCTTTTCTAGAATGTCATATGACTGGAATCCCAGAGTCAAGATAAAGAAAGAAAGAAATAAGGGGAGATAAAAGCCTATAAAAACTTGAATATTTGAAAGACCTGGGCAGTGCTGTAGAGAATTACAGTATGCTTTGGAGGACGTGTGTGGCTCATATAAGGAAAAAATTAATTTGAAGAAGTTCAAAAGAAAAAAAAAGATTTCATAAAGTAAACTGTTTTTGATGTAGAGCTTAAAGGAGAAGTAAAAGTTTGAGCAGGTAGGCAGGGCTGGGGCCAGGGGAGCCTTCCCAGAAGAGGCAGAATCATGAGCACAGGCTTGGAAGCAGAAAAGAAACGCGGGAGGAATCCAGAGCGGTTTTAGCTCATCAAGAGATACAAAATAAGGTTGAAAGCTTCCTTGGGAATGTGTGGCTAGATTCCTTGATTTGGTCCAGGATGGAGAATCCCCAAAGCATTCTGAGGGGAGTCAGACAGCGGGTGCCTTCAATACAGTTGTCTGAGGCAGACTTGAAGATAGATTGGGGTCCTAGTTGTGGAGACCAGTTCCGAGGCTCAGGTCCAGAAAATAAATTACATGGAATGCGGTTTATCCCGCTCTCTGGCGGTAGAGTTCCTATGAAGACTTTTTTAAGTCAAAACGTACATTGAGGAAGCAATTACCATCAATTTATACAGAACCACTTTGGAACATTTCCAGACCCAAACTATAACCTCTCCCAGGCTCTTCTGGTACCTTAGGACACATCTTGCTAACAGGTGCACAGAATACATCGGGACAAAGCACAGGTGCTCACAGACACAATTCTTTTTTTTTTTTTTTAAGATTTTATTTATTTGACAGACAGAGATCACAAGTAGGCAGAGAGAGAGGAGGAAGCAGGCTCCCCGCTGAGCAGAGAGCTCGATGCGGGGGGGGGGATGATGCGGGGCTCGATCCCAGGACCCTGGGATCATGACCTGAGCAAGAGCAAAAGGCAGAGGCTTAACCCACTGAGCCACCCAGGCGCCCCTCACAGACACAATTCTAAGCTAGGCAGCTCGATGCTAAGATGCTAAGCGTCCTTCTGGGCGAGGAGCTGGGCTCTCCTGGTCCTGGCTGCCTCCGTGAGGCTCACTGCCAAACAATTTTTGCTTTTCTTGAAAAAGCAAAAAGCCTTTTCTGGTTTCTTGTATTTAGTAAAAACTGGTGCTCGTGTAGGTATTTTGCAAAAGTGAAGTAACTTGCAGACAGCAGAGGATCTCTGTGTATGTGTATATACACGTGTGCAAGATGTGTGTACACACACATAATGTACCTGTATATACATGCACACACGTAAACACACGCACATAGATATGCTCCCTGAGAACAGGATCCTCACAGTCTTGCCCATACTGTATCCCCACCTCCTGATCCAGTGGCACAGAATCAACACTCAGATCTTATATATGACTGAGACATATTAATTACCAATACTAATAACCAATAACTAAGATTGCTCTACTGATTTCTATTTGCCCTCTTTTCAGGGTTCCTCTCTCCAGCAATTCCTATGAACTACTTACAAATTCATTTAGCTATGATGCAGATAAAATAACTATTACATGAATTTAAAGGTATGTTTTTGTCCAATGTCTAATCCACAATCCATAAATTGACTGCCTTTTAAAATTCATGGCTCCAGTAGAGTTTAATCTAATCCCTGCCTCTACAACCCACCCGTGGGCCCTGTTTGTACATCCTTCAGATCCCTCTTTCTCCGCATTTCTTTATTGCTGTCTTTCCATTCCCAGCCTATATGCTTCCGTTTCCATCTGATTATTCCCTACTGAAGGGCCTTGGAATTCATATTAAAATCAAAATTCTCAGAATTGCTAAAAACAAGTACCACAAGTACAGCTTGCAGTTAGAGAGGGATTGCTAGACAGTGGAACTCCTTGAAAACACTGGTGTGGACAGATAAAGGCCGGCATTGGTAGTTAAACTCAGGATAGCATACGGAAGTACAGTTAAGCCCAGCAGACCATATGAATGAGGTCTTTGAATTTTGTATCCCAAGTGATATGGAAAAACATTGCAAGTTTTGAGCCGAGTGACATGTCTGGGTGGCAGGTGCTCTGCTGAGGGCAAACATGTTGCTCGAGGAACAAAAAGGGGCTCTTCACCCGGACGTCAAGGATCAGAGGTCCGATCCAAAAGACAAGCGTAAAAGGAGCAAAAGAGATTAGCTCCAGCTAAGGTCCAGAGGTGAGCTCAAGCATGGAGTGCCTGAGAAATGGAGAGCCTTGCACAATGTGAAGGGATTTGAACTTACTCCTGAGGCAGTGGGAGCCAGGGAAAGTTTTACGGTGGGGAGGGACATGATAAGTAACATGGCTCTTATTCAGGTCATTCTGAGAGCCGAGTAGAGGAGAGCAGTAAGACAGGAGGCATGAAGGCCAGGTGATGGGATCCCAAGGTGATGCTGGCCGGTGGGGGGAGGGGAGGGTAATTTTCCCTTTTTCCCCCTCTAGGTTCTTTGATAATTAAATTGACATAAGACAGAGTAACAGGAGAAAAATGTATTTTGTATGTATAGGAGCTCATAGACATAGGAGATTCAAAGAAGTGACCAAAGCAGGCAGCTTTTAGACCTTTTAGACAAAGAAACAGTGTATTTGTAAAGAGTTGACAAGACGTTGACGCCTGGGTGGCTCAGTTGGTTAAGTGGCTGGCACTTGATTTCAGCTCAGGTCATGATCTCAGGGTTGTGAGACCCTTAAAATTCTCTTTCTTCCTCTCCCTCTCCCCCGCCCTTGCCCCACCCCGTGTGTGCTCTCTCTCTCTCAAAAAAAAAAAAAAAAAAAAAAAAAAAAAAAATTAAAGTATTGAGAAGACAAAGAAGTTTGGACTTGGGGTAGTAAATTAGCAAAGAAGTAACAAGGTTTGTTTATATAACCCTCTTGGCCTTGGAATTCCTATCTCTGGGGCTAAGAACGTCTCCTTTCCTCCTGGTACAAGGGGGTTACTTTTCACATGGGGAACTTCTTTCCCACTAACAGGGGAACAAAGGATAGTCAGTGTCCTTGCATTGGCTGTTTCTTATGTAATTTTAATTCAAAATTACCAACATGCCAAAGTGGCATATTTGGAGGCAGCCGGCGTCGAACCCCACCACCCACATTAAGTCAGCATTGCAGGGATGGAGAAGAGGAGCCAGATTATGAAGAAATCACTCAGGAAGAATCGGTAGGAGTTTGTGATTGAGCAGCTGTAGGGAATGGGGAAGAGGGAAGGTCCAAGAAGGGCTGCAGGCACCCAGTAGCCAGTCATTCCAGAGGAGTCATTTCTCTGAGGATATAGAGAATGGGAACAGACACACCTAGAGTTCCAACGGAAAGGCCCTGATGCTTCTTTGCCTTTTTTTAAAACACAGAATTCATCTGGGTAAGCTTAAAGATCTAATTGACTGTACTCAACAATTCAGGATTCAAGGAGCATCCCATCTAGCAAACAGAAGGGAAGTCTGGGAGTTGTACCATATGGAAGGTGGTTTTTTTTTTTTTTTTTTTTTAAGATTTTTATTTATTTACTTGACAGAGAGAGAGAGAGAGGGAAAGCAGGGGGAGGGACTGAGGAAGAAACAGGCTCCCTGTTGAGCAGGGAGCCAGAAGACACAAGACTCGATCCCAGGACCCTGAGATCATGACCTGAGCCAAAGGCAGACACTCAAATGACTGAGCCACCCAGACACCCCTGCCCCGTCCCACCCTCAAGCCCTTACTGCCTTTAAAAGCCTTCCATTTGAGGCACCTGGCTGGTTCTTTTGGGCACCTCTGCCCCCTCCACCTGTTCGTGCTCTCTCTCAAATAGATAAATAAAATCTTAAATAAATAAATAAATAAAGGGAGAAAGGGGGTGGGAGAGGGAAGTAATAAAAGAAAAGACTATTTTAGATAAAGTGAAGGGCAGAGATCAGTCACACAACTGGGGTCAACTCAGATTGACTGGGTAAAGGTCACATTGCTGGGAGGGGAGGAAACTATAATTAAGTCTTGGTTTGCCCTCTTGGAGGGGCAGGTGGCTCCGTTTTGGACCTGTCGTGCCATTTTCACCCTCCCGGAATGGGAAGTGGCACTGTGGGAGGCGGCTGGTACTTTAGGGAACGTCGCGGCCTGCGTGCAGTTGTTCAGGAAACCAGGCTATAGAAAAGAAGCTTACAGGGTCCGTTCTTTTTGCTGTGGATTTTAATTGCATATTTGGATTTCTAAAAATGAGACCTAACACTGTTAGTTCCCAGTACCCTTCATTCTGGAACAGCCTCCCTTCAGCAGCACATTTGGGGTGTAGGGAACACGGCGTCAGTTTTCTCTGGAAATATTTCACGTCTGTCTTCCGGATCCCAGGCTCTCTGTGTTCTCCTCCGGCAAGATGGTTGTGGCAGGGGGGAGGCAGTGCTAGTCAGGCTGGCCTGGGGGCTCAGGTTTGGTCCTGAAATCCAAGTACCCTGGCCTCTGAGAGCTGTCGGCCCCCAAGGGTGGAAAACAGGAGTGGGCTGAGGGCCAAGGGAGTGAGCAGGCTGTGTGCCTGGAAACCTGAGAACTAAATTTAGGTTTAACAACCATAGTGAAGAATGTACCTTTTGGAAGGTGCAAAGCTGAAATTGTATGAAGATGATGGGGTTTAGATCATCCTTGAGACAAACAACCTGCTAGGTTTGGATTAACCGGCTGGATTTTTTTATTAGTGTTTCTCACAGAAATCAGTATGAATCAAACAGATGCAGGAATGGCCAGCATATGGTGACAGTGTGACGAACAGCAGGACACGCATTTTTCTAGGCTGGACTGCCATCCCCCCCGCACACACACACACCCCCAACCACACTGAAACCAGATCAACTCATCTGCTGGGATGACGAAGGGACATGCAGAAGCGTTTCTGGTTTATCAAGATGGAGAACAGATACTTCCCACCCTTGGCTCCGTTAGAACTGTCAGTTCTAACAGTTTTTGTCTTTACTGGTTCACTTCAGTTCTTCAGCCTTTGGATGGCTCAGGGTGGGCTCATTTGCATTGTTATTCTGCTATTTCCATCTTTTCAGGATCCACACTGTTCCATCTGGAGCTCACTATGGGGAAACTGAGTCCACAAAAGGTTTATGCAGAACTTAACAGATTGTTGCACTCAACAGCAATGTTGAGAAAGAACAAGAACAAACCTGAAGCAATGTTTCGGTTTCCTGAGTGTGTGTGTGTTTGCACACGTGCGTGTGCATGCGCGGTGAGGAAGGCAAGTTTGGTGGATGTAGTACCACAGGAAAAGTGTCCAGGAGTGGCCTTCTCTCTGTCGACTATACTTTCAGTGAAGTTGCTAGTAACCAGTATTTGCATAGAATAAAAGAACAAGTGAATATCTGGAAATCTCTTTTCTGTTTCTGTATCCTGTAACCACAGTAACAAGACTTCTTGGGGTTTTTTAAGAAAGCAAATTATGTGTGGATTGTTAAAAAAATATATATTGCAGGTGAAGTAGAAATGATGCTCACTGTGTAATACAGTTTTCAGTGTGCAAACGAATATGTCCTTAGATGTCCTTTTGCACAAAACCCATTAAGCCTAAATCTAGGTCACCCTAGCCCCGAGGTTCCTGGTTCTTGACCTCACAGGAGAGGCTTGACCAATACCATCTCAGTATCAGGGGAGGGAGAGCCCTCTAGTGGAAAGTCATCAGGGCAGACAGTGCATCAGGAAAGGACTCCCAAGAAGTCAGAGGAAGAATATTCAATTTAGTCCAGCCAATTGAACTCCAACGTGTACGCATGGTATGACTCGCCATATCTTCCTGCTGATTTGGAAGATGCTTATCAACAAATCTGTGATGTTGAGTCATCAAGAACCTATTGAGGACTGGGCTAAGTAGATACTCAAATTAGAATAATTATTCCGAGGACATAGAGCCTTCTTCATAGCCTTCACCTGAAAAGCTTGGGATGGGCAAGGTTGGGGAATAGGGGATACATTTGGGTAATAAATAGTCAAGTTTAAATTAGATGGATGACTCACTCCCACCCCAGGATTATTAGCTATAAGGTTTGTTCATGGGTCCAGCTGCTTCTTTAAGCAGAAGGACACGCCATTCTAACCTTTGCCTTCCCCAAGTCTGTCCCTGAGTTGGGCCATGACCATCATCATAATTCAGTGGGTGATTTACCTTGTAACTAGGAAGAAAGAGACAAAGCACCCTGTCCCCCTAATCCCTGACCCTAACACATGCCTCAGATTGTAATGCTAGATTTTTGCAAAAATGTTCATACCCTGTCGACTAGGGTCATGATATTTCTGTTGGCTCTTTATTCTTGTCATTAACTACTTATAAATAAAATGAGAGACTTTCAAGATCTTAAAACTTTGCAGTTTAAAATGATTTCTTGATATTAATGGTTTCTATAGAGATTCATTTTAAAAGCATGTTGTATGAGAAATTCCCTGTTGTACATGTGCATTAACAATGCATTCTAGGGATGCCTGGGTGGCTCAGTGGGTTAAGCCGCTGCCTTCGGCTCAGGTCACGATCCCAGGGTCTGGGATCGAGTCCCGCATCGGACTCCTTGCTCAGCGGGGAGCCTGCTTCCCTCTCCACCTCTGCCTGCCAGTCTGCCTGCTTGTGATCTCTCTCTCTCTCTCTCAGTCTCTGACAAACAAATAAATAAATAAAATCTTTAAAAAACAAACAAACAAAAAAACAAAAAAAAAACCAATGCATTCTAAAAAACGTGTATCACTTGGATTGTGCCCCTTTGCTTATTGCTCTGCATGAGCCCCTCCCCTCATGGGCTCAAAAAGCTTGTTTCCCAGCAACAAGAATCCAGCTTTGAAGCGTGTGCCCTTCAAAGCTCTCGGAAGATGTCTCACCAGAACGGTAAAGTCAGTCTGAAAATGCACGCTCAGGACATTGGAGCTAAAACCGCAACTGCCCTTGCTTCTAGCCTGTGACCCTGCGGTCTTTGACTATGTCGTCAACACAGCTGAATTGTCCTTTGCTGAACAGAAAACGGCTACAGCAAGGATTTGTAAAGCCTATCTATACTTCAAGGACCGTCTTAACGCCTCGTATCTTCCTTGGGGCTTGACGGGTATGGCTGTTTCTGAAGTCTCGGTGGCCGTGCTCTCCGTAGGGCTTACGTCATGTGCTGCGTTCTGTAGTGGCTCCGTTCCGTGCACGTGGGTCCTGTGGTCCTGGCACACACATGTGTCCCTAAAGGCAAGGCCAGCGTATCTGTATATCCGGGGTCTGGTTCACTCACCCATCCATTCGTCTGGCCTTCACTGCAGATAGGCGTTATCTGCAGACAGATCCTATTACACTCTCTAGAAATGCCTTTGTGAACAAAACAAACAAGATCTTTCTCCTGATACAGAGTCCTGGTCGGTAGTGGTGGGTGGGGGAGTGGCAAACCTTAAATACGTAACCAAGAATGGCCATTTTCCACAAGGAAAGATACATAGACGTTTATACAAAGTGATAGAAATGGCAGAAGACAAAAGAAGATGGTACCCTAAGAGAGAACACGGGGTGGTGGTGAGGGGGGAGCTTACTTAGACTGGAGGGTTAGAAAAAGCTTCTGAAGTCGTGGTATTTCAGCTGAAAGCCAAAGACACATGGTACCTCTCATACAGCAGGTGCTAAAAAGTATTTCTGGCTCCGAGAACTGTTTAACCAGGACCCCGTGCACATGGTGTAGACCTTCTGTGTTTCCTCCAGGCTGTGTCTCCCAGTACAGTCCTACCCCTGCCCTTATTTGCCACCAACCTGTGTTTGTTCTTTCTGGCGCTCCCTGTTTCCGCGAGCCCATGGACACCCCTGCTGTGTCATCCCAAACTACGGCGGAAGTGTTCAAAAACAATATTCGACTGAGCAAATTTTAAAGATCTGATTTTATCCAGTGATTCATGATATCAGCCAGCATCCCATCTAGCAGATAGAAAAGAGCCCCAAGGAGCTCTACACATTGAAAGACTTTTGTAGGGAAAAGGGAGTGGACACGAGGAAGTTGTACTAGCAAAAAGCAGATTACGGTATTATATGCGGTTATAATCAAATCCCTCTTATTCCCTTACAGGTAGGTACAGACACTTCCAACTTGAGGAAGGCAGACCCCAAAGGTCGGAGTGCCCTGTTGGCTGATATCCAGCAAGGAACTCGCCTACGGAAAGTCACGCAGATCAATGACCGCAGTGCCCCACAGATTGAGAGTAAGTGAGCTGCTGGGCCGGGCTTGACGTGCATCAAGGGCAGACCACATGGGCCTCAGCCAGGCACCTCTGGCTAGCTCAGGCCAGGGGCCACACTTGCTACCCAGGACGCACTTTGGGCCATCGCAGACTTGCACAATGTACAGGCCATGTGGGTGAGAGTCAGAGCTCCCTTTCCAGGTCTGCAGATGGTTTAGAGCCTATCTTCTACCACTATTCAGATGCTAAACAAACAAGTAAAACCATGGTGGGATAACTATTTCTTTTAATGGTGACAAAATACACATAATATGATGGGGCACCTGGGTGGCTCGGTGGGTTAAGCCTCTCTGCCTTTGGCTCAGGTCGTGATCTCAGGGTCCTGGGATCGAGCCCCGCGTTGGGCTCTCTGCTTGGAGGGGAGCCTGCTTCTCTCTCTCTACCTGCTTCTCTGCCTGCTTGTGATCTCTCTCTCTGTGTCAAATAAATAAAATCTTTAAAAAAAATTTTAAAAAAAATACACGTAATATGAAATTCACCGTCTTAGCTATTTTAAGGGTCCATTTCGGTGGCATTTGTACATTCACAATGTGGTTGCAACCATCACGTCAGTCTAGTTTCAGAACATTTTCATCACCCCGAAAGGAGACCCCATGCCCATGACATGTCACTCCCCATTCCGCCAGTCCCCGGCAGCTTCTCAGTCTACTGTGTGTCTCCGTGGGTTTGTGTCTTTGGGATATTGATGTGAATAGAATCATACGATATGTGGCCTTTGGGGACTGGCTCCTTCACTTAGCATAATGTTTTCCAAGTTCATCCAAGCTGTCGGGTGCGCCTTCTTACTGTCGATGACTATTCCATCGTCCGGATATTCCGGTCTGTGTTCATCCATGGTGGGATACCCTCTAACGATCACTGACCCTGCACCCACCTAGTCCTCAAAGAGAGAAAAATTGAAGTCTCAACATTAAAGTGTGCCAAATCGTGTTCGCAAGGAAAAAAGATGTCCCCAGACTGAGTCCCGAGTCTGCTACCAGGTGTATCTGGGAATTTCTCTGAGATTCAGTCCACTCAGCTACAAAATGTGGGAGGTAGTGATAATTGCTTTTTCTTTCTTTCTTTCTTTCTTTTTTTTTTTTTTTTTGGTCACGATTGCTGAAGGTTGAAATAATTTATGCAGAATTATTTATCAATGTCATCTGTTGTTATGTCTTCATATAGTTTTCAATGATGCATATGATGGTAATTCTCAAAGATTGTCCTAAAAATGTAATTGTATCTAGTGTCTATAATTATATATTTTCATATACAAGGATACATAAGTTACTTTAAGAAGTATTTTCAATAATTGCAATAAAAATTAGTTTCCAGGAGACCCACTAATTGGTTAAGCCCAATTACCAGATAAACCCATCTGATTGGAACACTCACTCCCTAATCATTCCAGTCAATAGGTAATATATATAAATACTCAGAATAATCTGAACACATTCATCCACCAGTGGGCACTGTGCCCTGATACCTCTGCGCAAGTTAGCCCCAGGCTGTGAACATTTCTTTCTAGGCATTCTTGTCTATGCCGAATGCCTTCTCGTAGCATGGAGTTGGTCATCACACACATCTGGAAGGCTGGCATTACAGACACCTCTCCGCCAGGGTTTCACAAGAAGAAAAGATGCAGGGAAGGGTGCAGGGCTCAGGGACACCTCTCCCACAGGGTTTCACAAGAAAAAAAGATGCAGGGAAGGGTGCAGGGCTCAGGGAGTAAGAGCTGGTGAGATGGAGAAGGAAAATGCCAAAGCATCAATCATTGCAGACCTTCCCTTCCTGCTTGTAGTCCTGGGCCAGACTCTGTGGACGAGAAGTTACAATTACTGACTGAACTAAATCCATGGGTTTTCTCTGTCTGGTCCTCCCACAACAGTCGAGTTGAAAATAGGGCTGGCACTACACCTACAATGTTTGGGTGCTCGCATTTGGAAGGTGCTGCCAGTTCCCCCTCCGGCATCAGTGGAATGGCAGTATTTAGGTCCCTTTGTTTGGGTCATTTTTCAGGGTGCTCGGCTACCAATGGTCAGTTCCTGGGTGAATCCAGAGAGAGTAGTAGACAGGCGTGAGCACAGGAGTCTGCGGGGTAACCGGGCAGAGGGGTTTGGGAAAGATGCCCACTAGGAGGGAAGGGCTGGAGGTGGGAGGACGGGAAGGCTCCCCTGGGTGCTGTTGGATCACGGCCCGGACTGAGACCAGGCTGCTCCGCTCTGCTCAGAAGTCGTCATCTACTTGCCTCTTCTCTGAAAGGCTCTAAAGGAACCAACAAAGAAGGAGGAGGGTCTGCAAACTCTCGAGGCGGAAGCACACCCCCAAGCCTGGGAGATCTGTTTGCTGGTGGCTTTCCTGTGCTGAGACCAGCCGGCCAGAGGGATGTGGCAGGTAAGGGAGAATTCAGACCGATTTACCTGGTGATCTTTCTGTCCTTGACACATAAAATTGGCTGGGCAATCGTCCTGAGCCATGAGGATTGTGGCATATTTTTAAGAGAAAGTTGCATAGCAGGAGATCATGGTTTGGGAGCATGACCGGGAATTACCCAAAGCATTGTTCTCAAGGGATCTTGTAAATCATCATCCTGTTTAAATCATCCCATTGTAATAATTGAAGAATGACTTGCCACTGTGTGTAGTGCTTAGCAATGGCATGATTGGGGCCCCCATTGCAAAGTATAGACCAAAGGTATAAAGCCCTTCAGAAAAATCTTAGTGATATCACCATAACGTATCAGGCATTGTTATCAGTTAGGTGTTGCTGTATAACCAAATAGCCTAAAACTTAGGGACCTTATACAACCATGTATCTGGCTTATAGTTCTGTGGTTGACAGTTTAGGATGGGCTCACCTGGGCTCCCTCTGGTAAGTGGGTAAGATGGCTTTTGCTAATCTTAGCTTGGGTAAGGTGGCTTTTGCTAATCTTATATTTCTTAAATCTTTCATGCCTCAGCGGAGATGACTGGCCTGACACATCCATATGGTCTCTCAGTGTCTGGCAGAATATTTGGGATTGTTTTTCCTGTTGGTGGTAGGGTATACAAAGTCTCTTAAGGCTTAGTCTTGGAGCCACAGGACCAGCCCAGAAACAAGGGTGGGGAAAGACACTTCACTTCTGGATGGAAGGTCTGCAAAATCACATTTTAAAAATCATAGAATCAGGAATGAGTGGATAATCAAGGCCGTTTCCTCAGCCAGTCTACTGCAGTCGTTTGTGTGTTATGGGTATCAGGTATTTTGAAAGCATTGCATTAAAATTGGGCAATTACTTATTAATTATGTGTGATAGAAGTGTTTTTCCTGTTATTATTCTCTTTAGCCAACAAGCGGGAATAAGCTTTGAGAATTGCATTAATCAGGGAATATCAAGCCCCAAACGTTGCTGGTATAGAATCTTCTGGCATGGGGTTTGCCAACCTTTTCAATGGGCTCTGTGGCTGTTTGACATAATGGGGTGCATCTGCTTCTGTCACCTACTGACAAAGTCCAGCAAAGATAAGGGCTGTACGATGCTTTCAGATCCAGTTTGAATCTTCTCAGAGGCCATTGCCTTTCCTCTTTTTTGCAAAAGGTTTAGCAAAGAAGGTTGGCATTTCCCAGTGCCGCCTTTTTCAGAATTCCTGAGTGGTATCAAATAAACATCATATAACATAATATACTATATATTGTATTATTATATATTATAATTATATATAATATTTTATATAGTTAATTTATGTTAATAAATATATAATACTTATATATTATAATTATATTTATATATGTTATATATAATTTATATGTTATATATAATAATATATATTGTGATATAATTATTGTTTTATATATATATAAATTGTCTACCAGTTTCTCTTCATAGAAGTACACATAGGAGAAATAGCCCCCACTCAGTTTTAACAGAGACCAGCCAAAGGAAGCCAGCTCTTCTCTATTCCTACCTGTCAACACTAGGACACAGGTGTCTGATGCCTGAGCCACTCTGTTAAACAAGGATTAATTTCAGTAGAGGAGATGGAAATCCTTAATGCAGTGGCTGATGATGCCTGCTACAGGATAGTAGCTCAATAAATAGAGCCAATAAATAGATGCATGGGCTGGGTGCCATGTCAGAGTAAGACAGACCATGGCCGTCCCTCCCAGAACCCTTCTATCAGCCCCCTCGTCATTCAGAGAAAATGACTTCAGCCTTTGCTACCTCTCTCATATTACTGTCTTCCACTCTTTCCTTCCAGCTGCATGGCCCTCTCGCTGTTCTTAAACACACAAGGCATGTTGCTGCCACAGGGCCCTTGCACTGATGGCTCCCTTGACCAGGAAGGCTCTTCCTCAGGTGTCTTCATGACTCATGCTCTCCCTTCCTTCAGGTCTCTGCTCAAGTGTGACCTGATCAATCTATCAGTGAGGTTTTATTCATCAACCCATATAAAATATCAGCCTCACCCCCTTACTCCCATTTCCCCTCTACCTTTAGTTTTCTTATATTACTGATCACCATCTGACATGTTATATATTTACTGGTTTATTTGTTTATTTCTGTCTTCTCCCTCTAAAGGTAAGCTCTGTGAAAGCAGGAACTATGTTTTTTTCACTGCCTTAAAAATGCCAGATTCATAGTAGATGCTCAGTAAATATTTGTTGAATGGAATGTGGGAGTAGGTAGCATGGTTGCTTAGGGCCATCAGGCCAAGAAAACAGAGTGTGGTGCTCACAGTACTTTTGGCAGCCCATGAAAATGTTTGGATATCTTCTAAAATCAGAAAAAAAAAAAAAACCCAACCATGAACTTTTAGAGTCAAAGATTATATTTGTTTTTATTGCAATGCACCTATGAAATGTCTTCAAAAGTCATAATTTGGTCTTGGCTTGGAGTTCTGAAGAGTGATCATTAAAATAAGATGGGGAGCACCTGGATGGCTCAGTTGGTTAAGCATCTGACTTCAGCTCAGACCATGATCCCAGGGTCCTGGAATCAGCCAGGCATCGGGCTCCCTGCTCACAGGGGGTCTGTGTCTCCCTCTCCCTCCCTTTTTGCCCCTTCCCCAGTTCATCCTCTCTCTCTTAAATAAATAAATAAAATCTTTTTATTTATTTATTTTTAAAGATTTTATTTATTTGTTTGTCAGAGAGAGAGAGAGAGCACAAGCAGGCAAAGTGGCAGGCAGAGGCAGAGAAACAGGCTCCCCCCGAGCAAGGAGCCCGATGTGGGACTCGATCCCAGGACTCTGAGATCATGACCTGAGCTGAAGGCAGCAGCTTAACTGACTGAGCCACCCAGGCATTCCTAAATAAAATCTTTTTTAAAAAGTAAAAAAATAAGATAGGATGAGGAACACTACTGGGTTCTATGGAATGTGTAATGAGACTTCCATGCCATCTAAGGTCTTCTGGAAACATACCCGGATTAAAGGAACATACACATCCTTTGTCTTTTGATGACCCCAGGCTCTTGATGCACTCAACCTGGCCTTTCCCCACCCTCTCTGTGGTCTCCTTTTGTTTTCCAATTTGTATTTCTAGGGGTAGCGTTTCTGTGATAAAGGAAAGCCTCCTCCTTCCTTCCCTTGGCTCTCCGCTAGCCCCGTGCTACCCACGTTCCTGGCCTGCGCTTGACACTGTTAGTTCCTGTGTCTGTGGGTCTCACCTGCGGTGCGCGCCGCCCGCTCTCTGCTTCATCCTGGAGTGGGCCTGAGCAGAAGCCGAGTGAGGATTTGTGCCTACCTTGCCTCCGCTGTTCATGTCATGATAAAAATAAGTTTGCCCGCTTCTCATTTGCTTGGCTGCTTAGTAAACCGAAGCTTCTGTACTTTTAACTGACTCGTTCTAAGAGCTTTTGGATCTTGGGCACTTGGTGTCCTCAGTCATTTCCAAAGCCTGCATTGTTTACTCAGGGGCTGATTATGCTCCTCGAACTTATTAGCCCTTTTAAATTCATGGGGAGAGTAGGCATATAGGGAGGCCTCACCTTGTTAGGGACTGCCTTGGTCCTCCCTCTCTATCTCTGTGTGCTGTGGAAGCAGGCTTGGAGGCAGGAATCTCTGAGCCTGACCCCTGCCCTAGACCTCCCATGAAATGTCTAACATTAGCGTTGTGGGTGGTAGATCCCGTCCTTGGCAAGGCCAGGTGGGGGCCTTCCCGCCTAATCATGGTCCGCCGGCTGTTACGGCAGTGCCTGCCTTAGACCCCAAGGGGATCAGTGATGTCAGACAGGGGGGAGGCATCGGTATGAAGACGTTATCTCTTCTGGAATGGCCCCAAAGAAAACCCTCAACAGAGGAATGGGGACATCACCACCCTGCCCCAAGAGCAGCCGTTTGGTATGGAGACCTGTAATGAGTAGTGCTGCCCAGGTAACTGTCCCCTCATCACCGGCGGGGGGGTGGGGGGGCATCCCTGTGGAAGGCCAAGTGCTGCCATTCGGCCCACTGAGTTTCAGCTCCAGCCTCCCCTCTGCCACACCTCGCTTTGATTGCCTGGCTTTTGGCATCAAGCCCTTTGGGGTACGATCTTGCACCTGGTTGGGTAAACACAACTGGAGACGCATCAGCTGAAAAGCTCAGAACTGCCACCAGACGCTGGGGTTTCTAACCTGATTTGAAATTCATGGTTTTTATTCTGCAACAGCAGGGAAGCTGTAGGTGGGAGAAGCAACCATCTTTCCACGTGTTCTGCACATGTTTTCATCAGGGTAATAAAATACAAGGGTGCAAGGATAAGAAAAGACGGATTCCCCGGAATTCCATTTGGGAGGGCAGTGTATCTGTTTGGAAGGAGGATTTTAGCGTGCCTCCTGAGCGGATGGTGATTCGCTAAAGACACATTTAAGCAGGGATCGCAGACCTTCCGTGCTTTAGTAAACGGAGAGGGGAACATCCTTCTCCACGGCGAGAGATGGATGTGGGGGAAAGAGTGCGGTACGGTGCAAGTGCTTTGTGCAGAGTGGCAAGGCCCTCCTAGGGTGCACCTCTGCCCAGCCTTCCCCGAAGCACACCACACACACATTGCTGTGAGGAGTGTGCCATTGTGAGTTCCCAAGAGCCCTATTTTCCAAGTTGGGGTTTGTGGATCTGTGAGTTGAGGAGACCCAGGAGACCAGGAGACAGAGAGCCTGTTGCAAATGGGCATGTCTTTTGCAACTTCCAGAGGCCATGGAACTGGAAGGTTCAAGGTCGTTGGACCTGGATCCCCAAGTCAGTTCCCGCTGTCTTCTGAGTGACCTTATACATTCAAGGAATGATTCATCTTCTGATCTTGCTGCAGAAAACAAATGCTCACACCATGCTGGAAGTGAGGAAAGCCTCCCTAGCAAGGAGCCTCTTGTTGGTACACCTGAAGGTCCAAACTAGGATGTACGGACTGGGTCCCCAACTGCACTGACTAGTGGGTAGTGGTGAATGAGTGTGAGGGTGGTGTTGCAATGAGGAAGGCCGAAGGAGGCCAGAACAGTCCAGTGCTCTGGGTTGGGAGACTCCTGGGCCCTTGGCAGGTGAGGGCAGAGGTGGGATGGAACAGGAAAGCTGGTCCTGCACCACAACCTGGTGGCCTGAGCTGGGCTCTGACAGGTGCTGCCCCGGAGGCTTCCGGTTGAACCTGCAGGATGACAGTGCCCACCACACAGTTCACGGACATCATGCTGGATGGTGTGTGTCTGTCTTCACTGCCTACAAACTTGGGTTTCTCCTTCCTCTCTCTGAGCTGACTCAAAACTTGTTTTCCTTCCAGGTGGCAAGATAGGGCAGGCCCCTGGCTCCCGAGCACCTTCTCCCCGGCTGCCCACGAAAGCTCTTGGTGGCCCGCTTAACCCCCCTGCATCTCCCAGGCTAGGCAATGCCTCAGAGGCTCATGGCACCTTCAGGACAGTCCCTCCTCGCCCCAGCATGCCTGCCCCACCGCCTCCCACCCTACCCCCACCTCCTCCACCCTTACCCCCACCCCTGCCCCCTTCCTCCCCCACCAAAGCTCCACTGGTGTCCCCACCTGGCCCGCCCACCAAAGGGAACACCCCAGGGGTTGCTCCCCCTCTCCCCTCTGCACCTCCCCCTCCTCCTCCGCCCCCACCCCCACCCCTCCCTCCTACCCCACCCCAGGCCTCCCTGACCTCTGTTCTCAGTGACAAGGCCTTGAAGCCTCAGCTAGCCCCCTTGCACCTGCCGCCCATCCCACCCCCACTCCCTCTCCTCCCCCCTTGTGGGTATCCGGGGCTCAGTGCAGATGCTGCCAGCCCCACCCAAGATGTTCGGGAGCCTCCTGCCCCACCGCCTCCGCCACCCCCACCCCCTCTTTATGCCTCCTGTACCCCGAGGTCGTCTGTGCCTGCTCCTCCTTTGCCAGGAGCTAACAACAACAGTGAGGCTCCACTCCTCCCGCCCCCCAAGTCCCCCAGCTTCCAGGCCCAGCCACCCAAGTCCAGTGCACAGGCCTTGCCGACACCGCCAGCCCCTCCAGGATCGCAGCCATTCCTGCAGAAGAAGAGGCCCGGCCGAGGCCCAGGTAAGCACCAGTCTTCAGGTCCAGGGTGGCCGTAGCAGAGGACCACTCAGCCAGTGATTAAAAGGTGCTGGGAGGGGCACCTGGGTGGCTCAGTGGGTTAAAGCCTCTGCCTTCGGCTCAGGTCGTGATCCCAGGGTCCTGGGATGGAGCCCCGTATTGGGCTCTCTGCTCGGCAGGGAGCCTGCTTCCTCCTCTCTCTCTGCCTGCTTCTCTGTGATCTCCGTCTGTCAAATAAATAAATAAAATCTTAAAAAAAAAAAAAAAAAAAGAAGGTGCTGGGAGCACGGCCAGAGCCTTGCTCCTAAGGCAGACCCACTTGGGAACACCTTGAGATGTCTTAACTCTTGGAATTTGTTTTAGAACTGAGCTATCAGTGCCCCTCATGGAGCACAGTCATACTTATTGTATGGGACTTTATGTTGTATTCGTGTTAGGGACAGGAAACCAAGAGGAAGCAAGGCTGAAAGGCTTGTCCAAGATCACACAGACCCAGGCTGGGCATTCTGGCTTTGATCACCTTGCAGTTACTAGCGGAGTGACCCTGGGCAATCCCTTAGCCTCTCTGGGCTTCCTTCTCCTCATCTGTAAAATGGGGCCAGCAATAGTTCCCACCTCTTGTGATTGTTGGAGCAGGGCCTGGCAACACTGAACTCTAGAGAAGCGTTATTTCTTCTTACTCTCACCCTTATAGACCCAAATCTCCAGCCTGAGGGGGCTGTGGGTGCGGTCTGTTTCCAGAACCACGTGTCTGGTGTCCTTTTTGCTGGAGTTTCTACAGCCTGGCTCCCAGCCACCATTGGCACTGGCCCTCGGCAGACTGGATTCACATTCTGTCTTCCTTTTGGCACGTTCTCGTGCTGACTCAAGAAAACTAAGGGTCCATATTTTGAGCCAAATATTGAAAATAATTCCTTCACATACCTAGCAGAGGGGATTTTGGATTGAGCATGCGTGCCCACGACTGATTTCCACCTGGTAAGGAGGCTTCATTGGCCTTGTGTCCTTCTGAATAGAAAGTATACCCACATACACACCCATCCACATGTGCCCACAAACACCGCAATATACACACACACACACACACACACCCCCACCCCAACACACCCCCACACGCACACATATTCTTCGGTCTTTAAGAAAATCTTTTCATGCAGAAGGTTTCTTAAATGTATTTGCTCAAATTAAAAATAGCACAGGCTCCCTATAGAGCAAATAGAAAGAAATTGAAATCACCGACAGTAACATCACCCAGAAATAAAAGCTGTCAGAGTCAGGTGACAACTTGTCCCTTCCTTTTTTTTTTTTTTCCCTGAAAGATCTATAGATTTACAAAATTAATACAATTTTGAATATACAATATTCTATGCTGTTTTAATTTAATATTACATTATAAGCAGTCTCATCAAGTTAAAGCTTGTTCATAAGTGTATTAAACTGATCATCCGCATTTACCAGATTTCTACTATTCAGTTGACTCTCTTTTTTGTTATTGTGACTAATATTGGAGGAAACACTTTTGTAGCAATTGTCATCCACCTTTTGGATATTTTGAATGGACAGGTGCCTCAAAAGGGATTCCTGGTACAAAGGGCAAGAATATTTTTGAGGCTGTTGGTCACAGAGATAAGGTCCGAGGTATTCTCTTTTGAACTGACTGGTCACCACAAGGGCCAGCGTTCATGCCGGTGAGCTGCCCATGATTCTGAAGTGTTCACGGGGTGGTGAGAAGACAGTGCCTCAGATTCAGGCGGGCGAGGAGAGAGAAGAAAGTTGTCATTGTGGCCGTTTTGTGGTAGGTGGGGTGGATTTAGGCTGACTACAGGGAGAAGAGAGGGTCTGCAAGGCAGGGAAACCTCCCCCCCCAAGCAGAACCCTGGGGACAGGAGTCAGCCCACAGCCTGTTCGTCTCACCCCACCCCCCACACACACACTTCACCTACAGACGGCTCTTCCCTTTCTTCGGACTCTGCAGTGGTTCCCCTTCTTTGAGCTATGCCTTCTGATCCTGAAGGTGGCCGTCACCGTGCTTCTTGTCACAGCAGCTAACATTTACTGAACCCTGCTGCATGCCATTTGACTTCACTCATTCAGCCCTCTCAGCAGCCCCAAGGAGGCGTGTGTATTGTGATCCCCGTTTTACAGATGAGGACACAGAGGCACAAAGAGTTGTCATTACTCCAGCAGGAGAGCTGGAATGCAGTCCCAAGCAGCTTAGCCCCAGAGGCAGCCCTTTTAGTCACCAGATCCTGTGACATCCCGGGATCTCAGTACATTACCTCCCTCCCCCAGGAGGTTATAGCATCTGCTGTCCCTGGTCCTGTAACTGAATACACTGGCATCTTTTCTCTAAGGGACCAGCGGAGGGAAGCTAAATCCACCCCCAGCACCCCCTGCGAGATCACCCACCACAGAGCTTTCAAGCAGAAGCCAGCAGGCCCCAGCCTGGACCCCAGCACAGCAGCCGGGAGGTCAGCTGCGCAACGGAAGCCTGCATATCCTCGGTGAGTGGGGCCACCTTGTGCTGCGCTGGCTGCCGGTGTGGGAGTGGTTTCCCTCGGCCCTTGGAGGGAGTGTGCCAGCCCAGCATGTCAGGGGGCGTGCTTCACAAGAGCAGGGAGCTCCCCCCAGGGCAAAACAGCCAGCAAGTTGTGTTAAAGAAGATTTCTCTTGAGGCTTTCTGGGAGGCTCCAGAACTCATCCTCTAACTTTCTGATTGTGATGAGAAAGACGGAAGAAAACCAACATTCAAACTGTATGTGTGTGTGTCTTGTCTGTCTCCGTGGAGAAATCCATGCATATTGGATGACAATAGAAAGAATGGAGTGGTCTGGAAAAGGTGAAAGGATGAGTAGAAGGCCCACCAGACAGAGGGACTGTTAGGGCAAAAATACGGAGAGAGGAAGGAAAGTTCTCTAGGGTCATACCCAAAGCCTAGGTCACAAAGCAGGGACTCAACTAATAAAAGGGCCACAAGTCTCCTCTCTTCTTACAATCAGGAACTCAGGAAAAATCCTGTTTGCTTTGGGGAGTTCCAGGTCCCCCACTGGAAATAAGCCATGCTCCTTCCCACCAGCAAAGCTGAGGACTTTGAATCTACTCACCCCTCCCAAAAAAAGCCCTCACCAGGGTCTCAGGAGTAGCTGCAGGCCCCAGGCACTCTGCTGGTCCCTTGTTGCTGTCATGTTCCCCACCTCTGATTCTGGACCCTAGATAGCTCATGATTTCTCCCTTTAGAAGTTTCCTTAAGATATTGGTGAAAGCAAGGTGGGGTGGATGATCGGGAGAGTCTGTTGATTTCACTTTTCCTGATTCTCCTTGTCTGAGCTAAGCAGTAAAAATTGAGAGGTGATAGATGAGTATTCCTAAGGAGGAATGGCTCAACCGCTAAAGCCCTTGAGCTGGGCAGGCAAACCTGTGTGTTCCTGGAAATTTTCAAGTTCATCACAATAACGAGAGTAATTTTTCTATTTCCCACGTGTGCAGATGACTTTGAATCTAAATTCACGTTCCATACCATGGAAGACTTTCCTCCTCCAGATGAATATAAACCATGCCAGAAGATTTACCCCAGCAAGATCCCCAGAAGTAAGTACCACTTGGGAAGCCTGTTGGTTTTCCCTGACCCTCCAGAATTAAATGCTTAGTATGCATTGATGGGCCACAGGCTGCCTAAAGGATGATGTCATGATTTCACTGTACTACTGGGAGAATACAGTGCTATTCCTGCTTCTGGAAGGATCTGAACACTTACTTGTCCTGGCCCCAATGATTCTCTAGAAGTTTTTTACAGAACTCCAGAGTGAATTGTTTGGCTTTGGATTTGAGTGCCTGGATTTATCGCTTGTCCCTCCCCTCCCAGGGCTTTTGACAAAGGAGCTAACCACCCCAAGACAGCAGCAAAATGGGAGACAGGAGCTTCGTATTAATACCCAGAGAACATTCTAAATGAGTGTTCAGAATTCTGGCAGACTGTGAAATGAAGAATGTCCTTAGGTCAGTGGTTCTCAACCTTGAATACACATTAAAATGACCTACAGAGCTTTTAAAAATCCCAAAGGCCAGGCTGCACTGAGACCCACTAAATCAAACATGCAGGAGGGGACCCACGTGGCAGTATTTTTGAGAACTGCCAGGTGATCGCAGTGTCCAGCCAAGGACGAAAGTCTCAAGCTGATAAGAGTCTGACTTCTCCATATTTCATCATGTGGCCAGCCTCCAAGTAGAGGCCTTCACTCTGCTTACCTCCTTAGCCCCTTAAGAGTGGAAGAGGCAGAGGTTGGCGTATCCCTCAGGTCCAAAAGGGCAGGGAAGCAAGTACTTTAGGAAAACAGGAAGCAAAGAAAAGCAAAGTGGGGAGTGTTAAGCACACAGCGAAGCTGCCTATTAGTTCTGGTCCAGTGCTGAGCCAACGCAGTTGGGCAGGGCTGGTAAGAGGGGACAGAGACAACAGCATGGAGTAATAAGGAAGGCTATTTCCCGCGCTCCAACAGGAGTCAGGCCCCCGGTCTCAGACATCTGTGGACTAGCATGGAAGATCGTCTGGGTCCTGGGATAGCCCAAGACCATGAACTGGACTTTGGCGATGTCCCTCCTCCAGGGTTCACCCCCCTGCAGGCAGATCAGGGAGCATGCACCTGCTCCCTGCTCAGCTCACAGGTCCTCTTGGAATCAGCCTGGGCAGGTCTTTTTCTGCTGGGATTGTACATTTAGAGAGAAGTGACCTTGTGTGCTTTTTAAATAATGTGCAAACACTGCTACTATGAAAGACAGAGAGAGGAAGGGGAGAGGAGCAGCATGAGACGGAGGGCCAGAGATGGACTCCATATTGTCACACTCCTGCAAGGCTCATTCCTTTGCCTAAGCAGGTGTTTGTTAACTGGCCACGTTCATGCCACAAATCCCACAGTTCTCTGCTACACCCAGACAGTAACAGGTGAATATGACAACTGGCCCCTGGAGGCTTTTCGGTTACTGACCGCGACCCTAAACCAGAGGCCAGAAACGACATATTTGAAGCTCTGTGGGCCATTTGGTCTCAGTCACAACTACTCGGTTGCGCTGTTTTGACCAGAAAGGAGCCATTGACGATACAAAAATGATGGGCATGGCTGTCTTCCAGTAAAACTTTATTTACAAAAAACAGGTGCCTCGGGGTGCCTGGGTGGCTCAGTGGGTTAAAACCTCTGCCTTCAGCTCAGGTCATGATCCCAGAGTCCTGGGATTGAGCTCCATGGGGCTCTCTGCTCAGCGGGGAGCCTGCTTCCCCCCTCTCTCTCTGCCTGCCTCTCTGCCTACCTGTGATCTCTCTCTGTCAAATAAATAAATAAAATCTTTTAAAAAAACAAAAACCAAAAAACAGGAGCCTTCTAGATTTGGTCTGCTTGCCCTATTTTGCTAATCTTGGCACTAAACCATTCCAGAAAAGCAGATTCTCCAAAATCTCACTTCTTTTTCAGTACTGTGCTAGGCAGTCCTTCAACCTTCAGATGCGGTAAATTCTAAAGTTCGCTGCTTTTTGAGCCCACGGTGCCTGGTCCCTTCCCTGGGAATGGAAATGAGGCCATGCCTCGTACAGCTCGCCAGGAGGGCGCAGCTGGCTGTCTGTGCTGTCTTCCTCTCATCACAGAGAAATGGCCACATCAGGGGCTATATACACACAAAAATAACTGGATGCTCAGGAAAATGCAGTTTAAAGAAAAAGAAAGAAAAAGAAAACCTGCTAAGTGAACTGACATCCTACAGACCAGGAAGGGTATTTGCGATTTCAAAAATAAAATACAGCTTTAGAATAATGCAGCATTGGCAGACTCGAAATCCTCCTTTGGCTTCCGAGCACAATTACACTGGCATGTTCCTGCCCTCCCTGTGAACTGTAGGGTAGAACCTTGGTAATTCTATTAGTGTGAGTCTGATACAGTTCATGCCTGTCTGATTCCATTTCTTCTCACAGTTTTCCTCCTGCTCCCCACTGACCTGGTTCCCCGAGACTGGAGTTCATGATCTGGGAGACAGTATTGGTTCTGTGGGATGAGTGTGTTCTCACGCTGTCTCGTAGCAGTTCTGGCTTCGTCTCCAACTGCTTGCTCGCTTTCTCTCTCTGCTCCTGACACCCACACACAGCACACAAACACCCTTGTGCATGGCTTTTCCACTTGTCCTCTTCACTGTCTCCACCCTGCTCATATTAGTGGTTTTCTTTCTTTGATAGGATGATTTTACCTAATTTTTTAATTGTTTTAAAAATGTGTTATATTCCTCAATAAGTCAATTGTAGAATTACCATAGGATCCAGCAATTCCGCTCCTGGGTATACACCCAGAAGGATTGAAAACAGGGTTCAAACAAGAGTTCATTCACAGCAGCACTCTTGGCAATAGCCAAGAAGGTAGAAACATCCAGTGTCCATCCACTGATGAGTGAATAAACAAAACGTATAGCCATGCAATGGAATATTCTTTGACGATGAAAGGGGATGAGGTACAGATCTATGCTATGACATGGATGAACCTTGGAAATTCATGATGTGTGACCGAATGCAGACACAAAAGGTCACGTGTCATGATTCCAATTCCATGACGGAGCCAAAACGGGCAAATCCTTAGAGACAGAAAGTAGAGTTAGCTGTTGTCAGGGGCTGGGAGTATGAAGAATGAGGAGTAGCTCCTAGTGGGTACGGGCTTCTTTTTGGGGTGATGGATATGTTATGAAACTAGGCAGAGGTGATGGTTGCACAACACTGTGAATGTATTCAAGGTCATCGGTGGTAAATTTTATGTTATGTGCATTGTACTGCAATAAAGTAGGAGGGAACACCCTATCAGTAGGACTCTTGAGGAAAAATTGCATAGGTCACAAATATTTATTAACATAGTGATGATAGAAAGAGTGAAGTTATCATATTGACAGATAATTAACTGAGACCTCACTGGAGAGATTTAGATAAATGGTCCCCAGACACAGCCTCAAGAAATTCACATTTTGGTGAAGGAGAGACAGACACCCAAACATAACATCTCAGTCTGGTGTTCCCAGCAAAGCCATCCTGATCACAGTTCAGTGGGAAAGTGGCTGGCTAGAAATCTCTTTGCATCCCAACTCCTTTAAACATAGAATTTTGGGGGCGCCTGGGTGGCTCAGTGGGTTAAGCCTCTGCCTTCAGCTCAGGTCATGGTCTCAGGGTCCTGAGATCAAGCCCCACATTGGGCTCTCTGCTCTGCTTGGAGTCTGCTTCCCCCTCTCTCTGCCTGCTTCTCTGCCTACCTATGATCTCTCTCTTTCTGTCAAATAAATAATAAATAAAATCTAAAAAAATAATAAAAAACAAAATTTTTAATTGTGGTTTAAAAATGCATAACATGAAATTTTCCATCTTAACACTGTGTTAAGTGTACAGTTCAACAGTGTTAAGTACATTCACATTGTTGTGAGACCAATCTCCAGAACTCCTTTCATCCTGCAGAACGGAAGCTCCGTACCCATTAAACCCATGAAAATAGCACCCACCACTCTACTTCCTGGCTCTAAGAGTTTGACTTCTCTTGGTACCTCATATAAGTGGAATCATATACTATTTGACTTTTTGAGACTGGCCTTCTTTCATTTAGCCTGATGTCCTCAAGGTTACCCACTTTGTCAGAATTGTCTTCCTTTCTAAGGCTGAATACTCTTCTGTTGTCTGTATGTATGATGCTGCATTTATCTGTTCATCCGTTGGTGAACAGTTGGCTTGCTTCCACCTTTGGCTGCTGTGACTAATGCTGCTAGGAACATGGGTGTACAAGGATCTCTGACACTCATCCAGCTTTTAGTTCTGTTGGGTATAATATACCTAGAAATGGAATTCCTGGATCATACGATAATTCAATGTCTAATTATTTGAAGAACCACCATACTGTTTTCCATTTTACACTCCCACCAGTTGACATTCCCATCAGCAGCACATGAGGGTTTCTCCACATCATCACTAACATTGTTGTTCTCTGTTTTTTTTATAGTAACCATCCTATTGGTGTGCAGTAGTAGCTCATTGTAGTCCAATTCCTATTTTAAAATAGTTACCTTACACTTAGGGCAAAACTAGCCACCATTGTTTCCATTAGCGAAGAAACTTCTCCAGCAAGTGCTGCAGTCACTTTCACAGTATCGGGTGGTTCATGTCATGAAATCAAAGGAGGAGCTATCCCAAGCCTGAGAGACTCTATAGACACTGCCGGTCGCTGAGCATTTATCTCTGCCTCTTTGGAGGGCAGCAGGACAGGAAGGACCTCTGCCCTGTTCTTACCTTAGCTGTTCTCCTTCATAAGCTGTCTTCCAACACCCCACTCTCTTCCTGCTATTCCTGTCCTTCTAGAATATTCCTTTATTCCTCTGAAATGGCAAAAGGAGTGTCATGTCTATAAAACATCTCCCTTGACCTGCCCTGGCCCCTGGGCCACTTACCTGCTCCTCTCACAGCCAGTGCCGTGTCTGCTTCCTCTCTTCCTGTCCTCTGAGACATCTTCCACCCACCACGCCATGGAGAGAGCCCTTAACAAGGCCACCAGGGGATGCCATGTTGCCAAAGCTAGCAGTCAGAAGTGTTAGTT